TCCATATCAGTAGCTGGATTAGATGAAGCAGTGAATTTGGGTTATCACAAATCCTAATTACTTGAAGGTACTTGAGAAAAATAGAGATGCTACGGCACCACCTACTGAATCAGAATGTCATTTTCTGAGTTCTATATATTTTTTTAAGTGACATGCTGAAAGTCTCATAATTCTTTTTTTTAAAAAATTTTATTGTGGTATAATTGATTTACACTGTTGTGTTAGTTTTAGGTGTACAGCAAAGTGAGTCATATTGAGTCAAAGTGAGTTATACATATGCATATATCCACTCTTTTTTAGATTCTTTTCCCATATAGGCCATTACAGAGTATTGAGTAGAGTTCCCTGTGCTATACAGTAGGTCCTTATTAGTTATATATTTTATATATAGTAGTGTGTATTGTCAATCCCAATCTCCCAACTTATCCCTCCCTACCTCCGCACCGGTAACCATAAGTTTATTTTCTACATCTGTAACTATTTTGGTTTTGTAGATAAGTTCATTTGTAGACTTTTTTTAGATTCCACATATAAGCGATATCACATAATATTTGTCTTTCTCTGGTTAGTTCCATATATTTTAATTGAGGTTGGGGGAGGTTCCTCAACCTCTAAGTGGCAGAAACTTTCCAAGCCAAGCTGGGATTCTGGAAGGGTAGTTGGGGCTTAGGCGCTGCTCCCTTCTTCCCCACTGGACAATATAAAGTCGAACAGGTTCTTCTGGTCAAGGATCCCTTTCCCTCTCAAAAGTCCAATATGAACCCCTCTCCCCAAGTCAGAGATGACCTCGCTCCTGAGCCCAGCTAAGGACTTAGAGTATCTGTCAAGTTCCAGGCAAATTGGGGAATAAGATTGGTTTCTCATTGCTATTTTCAGGATTTGTGAAAATAATGCTAAGAAATCAGCAGATGGCAGTTTCATTTGTAAATTCTTTTTTTCCCCTGCCTTTTCCACCCCAATCTCCTCCTCTCTTTGTTTTTAATTACAACGTAGTATTTGCATGTTGCAAAAAATCACAGAAGCAAAGCAGAAGCCCCTTTCCCACTCACCTTCCCCAAACCTGCTCACTTCCCCACTCCTTGCTGATGTTTGTATTTTAGAAGAGAGACAACAGAACCTTTTAAGATCTAAAGAGAAGGGAAATCTGAGGCACTGAGAATTAATAATGATAATAATAATTATGATAATAGTAAATAATAACAATAAACTAACATCTGTGCGACGAATACTCATGCCAGACATTATGATTGCATTTAATATATATTAAAATTTTTAATTGTTTGGATTGGGAGAGCGGAGAGGTGTTTTGGAGTATAGATCATCCTCAGTCCCCTCACATGTGTGCACAGACTGCAGAGGGGCCTGGAAACCTTCCCTCTTTCCTACACTTCCCAGACTCCTTCTTTTAGGCTGAAAGGAGGCTGCTTCGGCAACGAAGAGCATTTTGTATGCAGACATCCAGCTTTTTTTTTTTTTCATTGAAATCTAATGTGGTGAGTCTGAACTAGGGGCTGGGGCGTGATTAATTACAGCAACCATCTTAACCTGCTCGGGCTGAGCCTGAAAGAAACGAGGTCAGGCTGAACAGAAATTCAGGATAGAGAGGAATGCTAATAAAACTTTGTTAACTGGCCCTGTCTTTCTTTCAGCTGCTGATGCACGGAGTTGGAAGATTTAAGGAATCAGTTCCTGTTTCGCTGGTTCTGGCCGACCCCAGAATCAACTCCCTTGATTGGAAATAAACAGGATCTTCCTTTTTATCCCCAGGAATGTGATGGAGGAAGGACTCTAGGGGAAAAGGTCTCTTCTGCCAAAGAAGAAGAATAATAACAAAGATGACAGTGGGAATAAAATATTGCCCTCTTCATCAAGGGCAATAAGGAAGTGTCTAGCTATATGTGTTGAGCCTTCTCGCTCTCCATATGTGCATGTTAGAACTCCAGAATTCAGCCCAGGTTTGATCTGAACTCTTTCTGTCCTGTGGTCCTCTTGAGTGTACTATACATATTGGGCTACATGTCTCAATTTTGGTTTCAGAAAACAGGATTACAATTACAGCATTTCAGGTTGACATAGTACTGTAAATGTCTAAGCATGAACCTCTCCTAAAGGGTATATCTCTGTCATGTGTACCCTCTGTGCCTGGCACAGTGCCTGGTCCTTGGAAGCTGGGGCAGAGGGGCTATGGTATAAATGGGGTAAGGCAGGGGGTGCCTGCAGCTCCCTCTCTGTTGGCTGAGGAATGGGGTGAGGGGACTGAGGAAGAACTCGGATGACTGCATGAACTTTCCCTTTCCCTCAGTGCTCCTGGGGCAGGGGCAGGAAGAGCTGTGTTCAGGGAGAAACCTCAACAAGACTCATTCCCCCTGTTGACTTTTGTAAACTCCTTGTATTCCAAAGGACTCATTTGCCCACTTCTGGGCCAGCTGTATCTCAGCTTGCTCTCTCCCCTCCCAAGGGGAGGACCATGTTACCTAAAAAAACTTACCTTTTGCTATTTCTTTTTCTCTCTCCTTTATAGTTTCCCTTCTTTCTCTCTTTCTTTCTTTCTTTTTTACCTTTTGCTATTTCTATTAAATTTTCCTTTTTGCTCAAGAAAGTGATGAGGTAGAAAAATGTCCCCTCCCCACTCTTCCAATTTTCCTTGGTCCAGGGATACAGATTCTTTTTCTCCTTCTCCTCTCCCTCCCCTTTGCCTTCCTTCTCCTTGTTCCTCTGTCATGAAGACTAACTTCCCAAAGCTGAGGGGAGTAGGGAGAGGTGAATCCAGTCTGTTTCTAGAGAAGCCCTCCCCCACTACATTCAGTAAAAAAAAAAAAATGTTTACTCTGCTCAAGAATTTTCAATAGCTCCCTATAATCATCAGTTTATATTCATTTCTGACATTAAAGTCCACTTTTTTTTTTTTGCGATACGCGGGCCTCTCACTGTTGTGGCCTCTCCCGCTGCGGAGCACAGGCTCCGGACACGCAGGCTCAGCAGCCATGGCTCATGGGCCCAGCCGCTCCGCGGCATGTGGGATCTTCCTGGACCGGGGCATGAACCCGTGTCCCCTGCATCAGCAGGCGGACTCTCAACCACTGCGCCACCAGGGAAGCCCTAAAGTCCACTTTAATCTGAGCTATCTTGAACTTTATTCTTTGTGATTTCCCAATTCCCTCTTCCCTACAGTCAGCTGGCCTTCCTGATGTGTTCACTTAGTGGAGACCAGAGCGGTTGGGGAGGCATTCTAAGCAAAACCAACAACTAAAAGGTGAGCAGAGGATGGGAGAAGCAGGAAAGGAGGCAGGAAAGGTAAAGGTTGATGGGATTTAAAAGATGTTGAGGGAAATTAGTTTGATGATTTTGGGCTCAAGATTTGGGGCTGTATTATTAGATTGGGAGGAGGCCACTGAAAGATTTCAGGTAGGGTCAAATCGGGCGTTTAGAATGATCTCCCTGGGGCTGTGTAGAGAAGGGAACAGCAGTGAGGGGGTTTGGAAAGGTGGCAAAGATCCCTGCTCACTTTGGTGTCATTGGTGGATAGTAGGGTCTGCAGAACAGACCTTCTATGCTCAGAAGACACAGCCGTGTATGGAGGCAGGGGCGTGGGTGAAATGACCTCAAGCACCCTCCTCCTGGTAGGGGGAAGGGGTGGGGTTCCAGTTTCATCTCTGAGTAGGTGTCAGTTTATTTCCACATGTTCTCTCTTTCGGGTCAAAGCCCATCTAGAAAGGCCAAGGGGAAAGTTCCCTGGGGAGGGTAGAGAATCACTTCCTCCTTTTCAGGCAGGAAAGGCAGACAAAAGTGGACAATGGACTCAGAGAGGGTGCATCCAGCAGAGAATGAGGGAGGAGCCTGAGGGGCTGGCCCGGGGCAGGAGGCCTCAGAAGATTCCCTTTGATCCCCCTTATCTCTGGAGGGCAAGCATTCTTTTTTGGCCTGTGGGGCCTTTTGTTGCAAGCATTTCCTGGAACCCACCAAGGTAAACACAGCCAAGTGTGTGTTCTTACAGCTCCACTTTGCTGTGTCCGCTCCTCCCAGCAGAGAGAAGGGCACGCGGGTCAACCCTCAGAGAGGTCAACCCCCACAGTCAACCCCCACGTTACAGTGCGTTGGCACCAGGCCTGAGAGATAACCATGACGGCCACAAAATGCTGAACCAATATCATAATCATCACCGTCAGCATCACATCATCACCTGCACAACCAGGGCCTTCTAAGTGCTGTTTAGACACAGGGACCAATGAAAAGTCCTGTGAACACCCCCTTTGATGGAGATGGGGAGCTACAATCATCAATAGGCCTACTGAGTTGAGGTCCCTGGAATGCCTGTGAGATCTGGAGCCTGGTGCGTGAGGACCCAGTTTTCCCTTCTCTATTTGAATGGTGCCTATACCCATTGGTATAGGGAGGGAGCAGGATGGAAAGTCTAGTTAAGGCCGGGCTGCCTCTCAGCTGCAATAAGGGACGGCTGATAATGTGACATTGAATTGGATTCTGGTGATAGCTTTGTGCATCCTGGTGCTGGAGGTATGAAGGCAAAAATACAGAGAAAATAAGGGTCCTTTCAGTTGAGAACAGGCATGAGCTTCCATTTACCCGTCCCCTGGGCCTAACTTCACCCAGACAGGAGGCAGCAGGGGCTACCCCTCACATCCAAGTGAGGCAAAGGTGTGTGGGGGGAGCTGACCTCATGGACGACTTCCAGCCTCACATTTAACATTTCCCTGTGAGAAGAGAGAATAAGCGACGCCTGAAATTTGGGGACATCATTCAGCTCTTCTTCCCAGGGCGTATTCCTGTCAAGTGGGGTGTTATTAGCTGAGCCAGTGGTTTATTTATAGAAAAATTCAATTCCCTCCTGCTCCCCATGCAAATGGGAACTCCACCCCATCAGGTGTCCTTTCAATCTCTCAACTCCCCTCTTCCCCTCAGAGTTGGGGACAGGAGTTCCCAATATGCCCCTCCTCCCTACAGTTGAGGACAGTTATGTAATCCGGATTGTGACATGGAGGACAGTCCTGGTTCTCCACACGCCCCTGGCTAACGGCTGCGATGGGGAGCCCGTGATGGGAGACCTCCCTGCTTCTCCATCCCCCAGTGCGCCCCTACCAACGCGCCAGGGCTCTGGGCATGAGATGGGGCTGCTATTCCTGTTGCCCTGACCCTTCCTGAGCCGTAGGGTCCTGGGGCACCCGGGGGCGGGGCACGGGGAAGCCCGGCGGTCTCGCCAGTGAGTCGGGCGCGGGCGCTGCGGGCACCTGTTGCGGCGCGCAGGGCGCTGAATGAGGCTCACCTGCGCGAGGCCCGGCCCAGCGCGGGCGGCGGGCGCACAGCTGAGCCGAGGTTCAGACGCCCGGCCCGCGCCTCGGGCTTCCGCCGGGTCAGCTGACCACCCAGTGCGGAACTAATAGCCGGCCCGAGCTGCCCGCCGCCGCCGCCGCCGCCGCGTTTCTCCTCCGCGCTCCGCACTCGGTATAGCGCGCCCGCCCCGTCGCCATGGCTGGGCTTGTGGTCAGTGGAGCTCAAGTAAGTCTGCTGGGGCCACCCCGCCCCCGCCTCGGCACAGTCGGTCGGGGGAGGGAGCCCTGGGGCGAGCGGCGTCCCGAGGTTAGACGGGGCTCCCTGCCTCACTGCAGGGGGCTGCGTCGGCAGGTGGGGAGTGGCTCCATGCCCAGGCCTACCCGACTTTGGTGAGCACAGGCTCGGTTTTGCGCCTGGCACACCTCCTGGGTGGGAGGAGGGGGGAAGGCCCCCAGGTCGCCCGGGTCCCCTCCAGCCCCAGCGCTCACTGACCAGGGGCCAGCCCGCGGAGCTCTCCATCAGGCCGAGTGGGTAGTACGCACAGCCCACGGTACTTTCCCGGGCCCACAAAAAAGTTTTCTTTCATAACCAGAAGAAAAAAAAAGAACCTTGGTTAAAGAAACGTTTTAATATATTTGTCTGTACACCAATGCAGTTGTAGAATATAAATTGTAGCTATGGGTTTTTATTTTCCCCCCCCCCTACCCCACGGAGGAAGGAATCTATGAAAGACAGTGAAAATCATGATGCATCCCTGCAGGCACTGGGTTGGGGGGTTTTGCTGCAGACTTGCTCCGGCTTCTGACCAGAGGCCCCTAATCAGAGGTGGGTAGAAGGCTACAGTTCTCCAGTTTTATTTTGGTCCTGATTTCTTTAACAGGCGTCCATGGGAAATGGCAACACTGCAGTTTCAACCCGAGGTGATAGACATCCAGCTTTACTTGCTGTCAGCGCTGTAGTGAAGCCTTAGGTGTTAGTCATTGCTGGAGGGATGGACTCAGCCATTATGGGGACCAGGTGCCTTTTACTTGCTGGAGAAGCCAGATGTCCCTTTTACACTCTGATTAAGCCAGCCCTCCTCCTTCCCACCTTTCCCTGCACACCCTAGAGAAATGGTTCTGAGGAGTTGAGGCTCTCCCTTGGATTGCCTAAGGCATGTAGTGTCAGGCAGAATTAGATTTTGAGGTTACTTTTGGGCTAAGGGAATGTTTCCCCTTCTCAGAGTTCAGAAGGGAGCAGACCAGGGAGGTACCAGCCTGGGAAGGAGGTTAAAATGATGTATCATATTTAGCAGGCAGGGAAAAGGGACCTTCTGGGAGTTAACAAGGCTGCTGGGGGAAGGGCTGGAGGAGAGGGCCTCTGCCCAAGCAGGGTCCCTGACCCACCAGAACCTAGGTCTCTGCATTTCAGACCCATGGTTCTCTGGTAGCTTCTTGCAGCTTCATGGAAGACTTGGCAGTGGGGCTGCGCCTTCCCGTGCCTCCCTTTCCCTTTCTCTTCCCGTTTCCCAAACTTGATATTTTTTTTTTGCGCCCCTTGATTTTGGCACATCCCAAACTGCCCGAGGACATTCACTGACCTGTGGGTGAGGCATTTTGGGCCCTTGGGGACAGTTCTAAACAGATGGAGCTGCCAGGGAAGGAGCGGAGCAGGCAGGTTGGGGAAAATGCCGTTGGGTCATTAGTGCGCCGTATTCTAAACCTCCTACATCAGTGAATCTGAGTGGTGGCCCTGGGGTTAGGGTCTTTTTAGCATTCTCCCCCTTGCAGCCATTATAAGGTACAGCACCTTGGGCTTCCCTGGTGGTGCAGTGGTTGAGAGTCCTCCTGCCGATGCAGGGGACATGGGTTCGTGCCCCGGTCCGGGAGGATCCCACAGGCCGCGGAGCAGCTGGGCCCGTGAGCCGTGGCCACTGAGCCTGTGCGTCCAGAGCCGGTGCTCTGCAACGGGAGAGGCCACAACAGTGAGAGGCCCGCGTACCGCAAAAAAAAAAAAAAAAAAGATATAGCACCTTGAATGTGTATTACATGGTACTTCTCAAACTTGGGATCCTTATAAAGGGGGGAAAAAACCCCACTTGCCGTGAAGTCCACAGTATTACTGTTTTAATTACAATATTGCTTAAGTATACAAACATAAGACCAGATAGAACTTTTTCTAAGTTCGTATTTAGAGACTTATAAGCCCCAAATAAAGGGATTGGATAAGTGTAAAGATGAAAACCGTAACACCCAGAAAATGAAAATAAACAATTTAATGAGATGGATGGTGTTCTGCTGAAACTCGGTCACTGCTTTCAGTGCTGCTGTAGGCTGACGGCCATCGCCCTGGGTTTGAGGAGTTGCACAGACCTGTAACACCGCACACTCGGGGATGAGGCGGTCCTCCCTACACGTTTCTCTGTAAAAATCTTTTAACATGGATCTGACTCCATTTGGTCTTCTTTTGGCTTGAATGCATCATTTATATTCAGTACGAAAGCCTCAATCTTCCTTTTCCACTAGCTTAGGATAATTAAAGTAGGGGCATTAATACAACTGCAGGTATAAATGCAAACTTGAAATTTGGGTACTGAAATCTCATACCCGAAAGACATTGGAATAAGAAACCCCTGCCACAGGGATATTGGTCTGATTCAATAACTATTTACCCAGTGGTCACTAGGTGCCCAGGACAGGGCTGTGTACTTTCAATATGTAAACTTATCTCATTCCTCAATTTTAACTTACATTACAGGGTAATATGTGACTCGTGGGGCTGTTTAATCAGGGTTGACTAGTTAAGAGCCAGGTGGTAAGCTTTTAATAAATGTTCGTAGTTACATTATTCTTAACACCTTTGGAGGTGGTTCGTGTTTAACTAGTTTATAGAAGAGGAACAGACTCCGTGAGATTGTGACCCACCCAAGATAATACAGCTAGTAAGTAGCAGCACAGGGACCCAAACTCATGCCCAGATCTGTTTCTACTCTCACAGAGCTTCCAGTACTGTGAACTTAAAATTAAGAATCCCTCACCCCTGGGTGGGGGCAGGCATCCTAAAATAATCTCCTCTCAGTCTGACTACTACGGAAAAGTTCAGGAGCCAGACCATCCCAACTGCAAAGAGAAACCCTCAGTGTTCTGCAGTTTGGTAATTTTCTGCAGCTTCTGCTCAGAGGAGCTGGCTGTGTGTACATCTGCATATCCCACCGAGACATTCTTATTTTTCCGTCTGGTGTTCCTCACTGTAAGGGTCTTGAACTTGATATGTTTTCATTTCCCTGATAATGGTGTCCTTTTCTGCTGTAATTCCACGCGGGGTAGAAGTCTTGGGGTGCATGTTACATAAGGTAGGCAAACTAAAAGTACGAAACTTTGTCCTTCAGTTCACTCAACATCAAGAGAATTGACTAAATGCAATGACTTCTCACTTTGGATGGGCTCTTCTGTGCCATTTAAGATCTCTTAAGCTCTGTGTTCCTTCTCTTGTTTGCTGAAGATGCAAACTATTTTTGACCTGGCTCTTCTGGCTTCCTGTTTTATGTTAGGTGGTCCCATGCTCCAGAAATTTCCCTGACATCCTGAGAGGTCATGTCTTCCACTCAGGAGCACTTCTTGAATAAGTTTCTCCTCTCATTATGAGTGTTGGTTGCAGTGCCTGGCAGTGGCTGCTTGCTGCTTTGAAGCCTTTTCCAGCCAATTTGAACCCTTCAACATGGTTGACTTAACTCACATCTCAAAAAGCTTCCAGTTTACCGTGAGGGTGGTCTAAGCATGCAGATGGCTTATCAAGTTGGTTTTCTTACAAAATTTTGGAGACATGGTCTTCATCTCTGTGGAATAGGAGCAAGTTGTGCTTTGTTTAGTTCTCTGGGGATATTGTGCTGTTAAGACCATGGAGTAAAACAAGCTGATGGAATCCTTGTTAGACATGTTGTGAATGATCCGAATGCTTCATGGTGATAGCTGTCCTTGGTGTGTGTTTGCTCTGAAGCGGAATCCTACAGGAGAAAAAGGGGAGCAAATATCCCTCTTTCCCCAGGCTCTGACACTCTTCTGGGGCCTTCCACACGGTGTCATGAGGTAGCTCTAGACCTTTCAGCTAGGAAAACTCATTTTGAAGCCGAAACTTGATGATAGATGCACCCCTGGATTTTGTTGATGAAGAAAATCCACATCCACGTGTGGATATTTAAGAATTCCATGGCCTGGATGTTGGAAGTCCTTATTCCTGGTGCAAGATGTGGTCCAGGCTCTATCATTAAGAAAGATGTGTTATAGTGGGCAGGCCTCTGGAGTCTCAGTTTCCCTGTATAAAACATGAGGGGTTTTGATTGAGTCCCTACTAAACTTAGCCCTTGATGACCCAATGAGGAAAGAACTCAGTTCCTACATTGAAAGCTCAGCCTCTCTGCTTCATATATAGCAGAGGTCTTGAATGATTTTGATGTGTACAAGATGGTGGTGCATTTTGAGTGAAAGGGATGGGTTTTCAGGTGAGCGCCTTGGGCCTTGGGACCAATGTGAACATATAATACAGAAGAAGCTGCTGATGGAGTAGACATTTGAGTGATGGAAATCCCTAGATTCTCCAGTCTCTCCTTAGTGTATAACTTCCATCTCTGCTTGGAAGCAGAACTTAATTTGTTACACAAGGAGTTCTGAAGAAAGATGGGTCTCGTGTAGAAAGGGGAGAGGTTATCATATTGAACTTACAGCTCTTTAGTTTCTAGCCTGTATCTTCCTAAGTCAAAATAATTTTATTGGAGTCAGCTGTTTTTCTGTCCTTTATCCCCACTTTGTCTCCTCCAGGAATGAAGTTACTGAAGGAGAGTGAATACACGATGTTGTATCGTCAACGATGGGCCCCCATTGGATAAGACAGGGTTGAGAGATGACCTGAAAAATTGAGGGTGCTAGGGTGCAGCGTGACTTGTATTAGATTGAGCCATATGAAAGTACTGTTGTGTAGTTCTACAATGATCGAAATATTAGTAATTCATACAGTTTAACCCAGTACCTGAGGATGCAAGAAGGCCACCATATTCTTGTTCTCAATTAGGAATCATAACTTCCCCACCCCCCTGGACACCTCTCTCTAATTCCAAGACATCCTTGTCTGTATGTGTAGAAGAATGAGGGTTTGCAGGGGGAAAGGATCAAGGCTACAGCCACGAATTTCTGCCGAGCAATTGGAGGTAGGGTCCTTTAGTGGGAAAGCGTCATGTACTGTGATCCACTGGTCACTGGTTTGTCTTACTGGTTTTGGAATTAGTTGCCAGTCCTTCCTGCAGTGTGCTATCTGTAAAAGTGAGTTTCAGAAACTCAGTGCTTGGAGCAGTGAGAAAGCCCTCTGACCTTGTCACAGCCAGAAGTTTTGGGATCAAATTTCAGTTCAGCCTCTTAATGTTTGGGCACACTCTAGGTAAATAATAATAATAATAAAATAAGTAAAAGAATGCCTGAGGGAGCAGCTCTGCAAGCAGAGTGGGGTTGATTGCCAAAGGATCCCTGGAGGACAGGGTCTTGGGAGCTCTGGCCACCCATCGTTGCCCCGTCGCCTTTGAGTCAGCTTCGTTCAGAGTGTGGAGGACATTTTATATACGGTGGAAATAGGATGGGATTGGCGGTCTGGGGAGGTTTTCTTGTCCAACCCTATTTGTTCCAGCACCCTGCAGGTTGAATGCTGGTATGTGCATCTGCTCTGTCTTTTATGAGGTAATGTGCATCGCAGGGTATTTGGGGGAGGGTGGGAGCAGAGGAGGGGAAGCAGGAGAGCCAGAGGGGCAGCTGTTGGGAAGGCCCCTGAGCAAGAGGCTGATTGCTGTGATTATACCAGCGTGCTCTGACGTTGGGTTTTTTTTGGGACATCTGAATCAGGGCAATTTCAGTCCAGTTTCCATTGTGCTGGGATTAGTCTCCATCACGCTAAGTGTACCAGCAAAGGGGAGCTGTTGGCAGAGTCCCTGAAGCCCCTAAAGCTGATTTGATCAGGAAAACAGCCACACGTGGGGCTTCTCGTGTGTGAAGCGTGTGTTTCAAGTTGGGGAAGCAATCATCGGATCAGTGACGCAGGGTTGTGAGCAGCTGGGTGATTTGCGTTGGCCACAATTGTTTCTGTTCCATTTAATTTCCAGGTGTCCTACATAGGCCAGGACTGCAGAGAGATTCCAGAGCACCTCGGCAGGGACTGTGGACATTTTGCAAAGAGGCTTGATCTGAGCTTTAACCTTCTGAGGTATGTAACCTTCACAAGACGCAGACCAGGCCTGGGAGGCCCAGTCCCCCTGGTAACGGCCTGCAGATAAAAGACATCCCAGCTCTGCATAGGGTACAGGGCTGTGAGACCTGTGGAACCGCACCCCGAAGGTTTGACTCTGCTTCACATGGTTCTCTGCTCCCCTCTTTGCGCCGGTGAAAAAGCAGCAAGTGTGAGCATCTCACATGTGTCATGAGAGGGCCATCAGCGTCACTTTGTTCTTTTCCTTTCTCACTGATGTCCGTGCAGACGAGTTAGGATACTCTTGGGGAGAAAGTGAGGTAGAACCAACAAGTGCTTTGGGGGTGTTGAGGATGCTTTCCTGGATAACTCCGTCGCCCAAAGATTTGCCAAATCCCAGGTAGAGTGTTTTTGTGTGATGGAGTCTTTGCCTTTTTATGAATTGGAACTTTAAATATTTGCAATGATGATTTCTCCCAGATGGTATTTCAAAGTAATTCCAACACTGTTGGCATGGGGTAGGTGGGAGGGAAACTTGAACAACTGTTCCAAACTTGGCAGAGAAGGTAAGTGTGATCGTCTGTATTATTCCAATGGAGAAAACAGACAGTTGTTTCATTTCTTCCTAAAAGATTTTGAATTGAGACTGGCTTGGGGGCTTCGGGGAGGGAGCTAGGAGGTTCTTGGAAAGCAGGTATCAGTGGGACAAATGGGCAGGGATCTGGGTCGTGGCTTTTCCTAACGAGGTGGTTCCACACAGAGGTTTTTCCTAAGTGTCCCCTTTAGAGCCATGCTGTCCTGGGAAGGGAACAAACTGTCTCAAGGTGGAAGGAGAGGTGAAGAGCTGGAATCCCACCCCGGGGCTTCTGTACTTTCCTACTTCCATGCTGTGGAGTGTCTTCTGAGTCGGGACACTTGGGAATTATGGATTCCAGGGAAGATGGACAAAATTCAGGGCTTTAAGGCATCAGAGGGTAGAGGGGAGTTGAAGCTAAGCCAGCAGAGCTTCTTGGGCTGGTGCTCAGGAACTCACAGCGGAGATGCATGGGCTCCAGGGAAGGGGCGTCCAGGGAGTTGTGTTGCAAGAGAGTGGGTGCTGTGTGCTTTCTCTCCCTGACTCCCAAGGGGTTTGTGTGCTTCTGGAGAGATGTGGAAACGGAAAAGTTGCAAAGTAATAGAGTGATGAGAGGATGCCAAACAAACACTGACTCTAAAGAAACAAAGGCTGGTTTTTGGTCCCTACCCAAATTGGGGACAGAATACACAACCTGGACTGGACAGTGCCTGAGACACGGGCGCCCCTTGAATAGCTCCCCAGGACAGACTCAGGCATAAGCGTTCCTTGGGGCATCGGAAGGAGTTCTTCCCATGTGACCGGCCTCCAGGGGCTTGGGGCTCTGTGGCTCAGGGGGTGGCTGCTTTGCTACTGGGAGCCCGGACGTGGGTTTCAGGAGGCTGGGCCCTGTGAGGGAGTGCGTGTCAGCAATCACAGGTCATGGGACTGGGCTGCCAGCTCTGAGGAAACAGCCGTCTTTGTCATGCTCCGGGGCCTGCCTCCCTTTGGCAAAGAAGGGGCTGGACTCCTGGGAGGTGTGTGTGTGCCGAGCGAGCTTGGTGGCGAGAAGGGGCTCTTGGCTCTGAGGGGCTGGATCTAAAAGGATTTATCACAGGAAATGATGGGTCCTGGAGGCAGGAACATTTTGTGAGAAGGAGGGAGAAGAGTTAAGATTTTTATTAATTTTTGTTGCTGTTGAGGAGACAGATTTCTGTAAGTATTGATTTTGAGGAGTGATCCCTTCTGGTCAGGAACCTGTTCTTACCCCTGTTGTGGTCCATGTGTGGGTTATAGCTGGGTTGAGGCAGGGATGAAGTCTAATGGAAGGGTTTATATTAGGACTTATAAAGTCAGAGGTGTTACAGACCACAGTGGAGAAAAGTAACCCTGGCTTGACATGGTTATGTTGGGATTGGCTCATCTTTGATGGTCTTATAACTGGGGGGCAAAGGGAGGTGGCACTATTTTATCTTGGGTGCCAGAGGAAGATGCAAGTTTACTCAGGCCCTGGTCTCTACCTCCAGCTGGATAAATATTCAAAGACGACTTAGATGCTTAACTAATTTCTCTTAAAAAAAAAAAAAAAAAAATGGGGGAGGGGAGAGAAGGAGGAGAAGGGAAGAGGAAGATAATAAACTTACCTTCCAAATAGACGGGAATGTGACAGATGTCACTAGCCCACCAGGCTGCAGGAATCATCATACCCAAAGGAAATACTGTGAATCCCCATCCCACCTTCTGTAGAAGGTTTCTTCCCAGCCCTGCCTTACTGTTTCCATGGAATCTGGGGGAGCATATCACCCTGTATTTGCTCTCTGCCTGGATTCACCATAGCTCCCTGTTCTAACCCTCTCTGCTCTATCTGCTGTTCTCTTTCTTGGCAGCCTGTCTGGCCCCACTTCGGACACCCCCTTCATCTCTTTGAAGCCGAACACAATGTTACTGTGTATTATACCAGTTCAAAGTGTGCTGGGGGCGATAGGGTGGTAATTGTTGGACGCAGCAGGAGACACATTGGGGTAGCATTGTTCCTGGAAATCTTCTGGGTACCCCCTTGCCCTAGAGACCTTCTCCCTGGCGATTCCTCTCATTAGGATCAGGTCTCCTGCATGTGACCAGGTGCCCCTCTTTCCCAGCCACTTTCTCGGCTTTCCAATGTCACTTATCTTCTTTCCAGAGCTGCCCTCAGAAACACAAAATTCTTCTTACTCTGTTATATTCAGAAAAATCACCCCTCCCCTCCTTTTTATAGAGCATCTCTGCAGGCTTCCTTTTCTCATCCAAAGAGTCATATCCGGGTATTGCCTTAAATGGATGAGAGCCACTAATACAAATTTCGCTAATCTCATAAATCACAGAATCAGCTGCAGTCTGTTTGTGCTTTAGAGTACAGCTTGGTTTTAGGCAAGGAGTTCTGTTTATTCATTTCAAAATATTTAATACGTTCACATGGCACAGTCTTTAGGGGGAACAAACATGCAGCCAGTGAAAAGAAAGTGTCCTTTACACGTAAGTCCTTTTGCCTCCTGGTTCCCATCTGCACTGCTAACTACTGGTAGTTGATTTCTGTCATCCTCCAGAGATATTCCATGCTTATACTAACATGAGAATTTCTCATGTGGCCAGATTTATATTACTTCTTGCCAAGATGTTAGTTAAAACGGAGGCACCAGGCTTCAGTTAACCACTTGTGATAGGGTCATCCTTCTCTGTTGTCAATTCATAGCCCATCATCGTTGTTAACTTCATTCATGAAAGTGATGTTTCTGCTGATTGTCTCTATGGCCACCTGTTCATGCTGGAGGGGAGTGTGGTTATGGGTTTAAAAGCTCTGAACTTTTATTTTTTCTTTCTGTTACACCTTAGGGTCTTGTCTCCTGCGTTAACTATGGTGACCCCATCTCTACCTCAGTTGGGTTGTCCAGTAGTAAACTATGCAGAAAGTCGTGGAAATTGAGACTGTCTTGCTTCTATGACTCTGTCCTGGAGGGAATTAAAGTCCCTGGGCAGTATGTTCTCTGTCGGGTTGGAAAGGGAAGCAAGACAAAAGGTCCAAATAAAATTTCTGGCTCCCTTAAAAGACTCAAACATTCTTTACCTGCTCTCTCAGCCCAGACCTCATTCTTCCTGTTATGATGAAAACCAGGTGAACTGCAATGACTGAACTGGGACCAGCTCTCTGGACATGATTCTCAGGTGTAGGGTCCTGCCATCCCCCCTTTAATGGGCATATTAGGTAGGTAACAGCCAAGAGGAGTGAAGTTTTGTCCCGTAAACTTAGATGCATTAATGATCATGAATCCAATGTTTACATCTGCATGACATTGTACTTTAGATTTTATTTTTTGAAGACAGTCTTGTAAATGATGAAACCAACAATGATCAATTTAGAAATCTTGAAAAACACAGAAAGGTATGACAGAAACCCTCTTTCTCTCAAATTTTCACTGATAATCTTACCACCCAGGAACCACCATTGTTAACATTTTATTGTCTTGGAGTCTTTCGTAATGCCAAATATTTTTTAAATGATGCTGTTGCTTACATTGTGTTGGAAGCATATTCCCATCTCAATAAATACTGCATTACAGTTTTTAATGGTTTCTTATTTCTTAATGTTGGACATTTAGATTGTTTCCAGATTTTTACTGTTATAAATATCTCTATTATAAATTGCCTTGTAATACTCATTGATGAATGTCTCTGATTAGTTGTTTGGGGCAAATTCCTGGAAATGGAATTGTCAGAGGGCCTTGATACAGATGGCAGATTGCCTTAAAGAGAGGTTATACCGATTTCTGCTACCAGGAGTATTTGAATATCCATTTCCCGAACTCTTACTTGAACTCGTTTTTGAGGTTTTCATATTTTCCTTTACTTCTGTGATCAGTACAGAGAGTCCTCTGGTTCCTTGACTGAGCCAAAGAGATCTTGGTAATGAGTTGTTCCAGCTTTCATCTTCCTTCTCCCCTGACTGGGAAAGGGCAGTGTTCTCTCTGGTGGCCCGTTTCTCTCCCCCAAGGGCCCTGAGTGGGTTGGGTGGGTTGCCTGCTGAGCCTGTGAACACAGTGGGCAGAGCAGAGCTCCCGTGGCACACGGTGGTAAGCACGTCTGTGTCAATCTGGCAATAAAATTGAGAGGGCTTAATTGATCTATGGCAACAGGAAGCTTACGTTTTAAAAATCGTTGGCAGTCGTATCTTACCTAGCATCCTCTGATGAATGTACTGGATGGGAGAACTGCTTAGGAGAAACCTTCTTAGGTGGGAGCTTGCTGCTTCTCTGGCTTTGTCCAGGATGACAGTGATGGGCTGGGGAGTTTGGGCAGCTCCAGCAGAGAAAGGGTGGCTCTGTCCTCCCTGCCAGGCAGTGAGGTGGGCAACTGGTACACTGTCAAATCTTCGAGGACGGACATACCACCGTGTCTATGCCTGTTACTAATGCTGGACAAGACTGGGCCTGTT